ATCAGCATTGCAACTTTTAATCACAAGAAAAAGAAACTGATTCAGCAGTGAGAAAACAAAATAATGTAAAAAGATTATTCCTCCTTAAATGATTCAGATTTCTATAAACAGTTCATCCAAATTTCAGAACACAGCATAAAAAGAGGGTCTTGTTTGACCACAGAGGTTCTCTTCCAAAAACACTGATGCACTGGTCATGAAGCGATATCTGACAACAGATTCAAATTCTGATCATCTGGGATTTGGGGAAATTGTTTTTTCTAAGAAGTCACAAAGGGCTAAAATAGAGAGTCACATTCTTGCCTGAGAAGCACGTAGGCCGGGTTCCCACTGTAGCTACTGGGGAGGTGGATTAGGGCCCCTGGGAGTCTTTGAGGCCCAGATGCTCATTCGACCCCTGCAGTTAGAATCCTCTGCTTGTGATAGCAAGGAGATTTCCAGGGTAACCAAGGACAACACAGTAGAAAATTATGGCCCCGGAAGGAAGTAGATTAAATTTTAATACTTTCAAGTCAACATCAAATTTATGCTTAAAACTACACATCTAACAATGCCAAAAAAAGCAAGACAGAAGGAGATTCTCACTAAAAAACATAAATATTCCAAGTATGTATACAGTTCTTTGCTATTCTGAGAATACTTCAAAGTGTCGAGGCTTAAAGAAATCAAGACAGAAACACAACTAAAGAAGGGTGGGGAGTGGGGAGCTCACTTTTCCATTGTATGTCACAGTTACTTATTTTTTTCCATAATTTCCCCAAACACAAGGCTGACTCCAGTTGCAGCTCCATATTTTGCTAAGTTTGCTAAAATCAAGCAACATCATTACCTCATCCAGAGAAGTGATCTCTACTAAGTGAAAATTTAACATATAGATATTCTTACCTGCATATTCCCTGTCATAACAACAAACTGGTTTAAAAAAAAACAAGCATGGGTTAATACAGAGCAGTAGGGGATCCATGATAGAACTCTCACTCTTCATGCATGAGACCCAGGTTCAATTCCTGCCATGATGCTTAAGTTTTCAGTTACTTCTAGACTAAGATAGACTAGAAAAGAAAGGCCTGATGATGTACTTCCAACCATCAGCCAATGAAAATCCTATGGGTCACAACAGTCTGATCCCATGGTGCATAAGACTCCAATGAGGGTGGGGGATGGCAATTTACAACAACAGATACCTTGTGTTTTTTATTATAGATCCTGGGTGGAATAGTGGTTAATCACTCGACTGCTAACTGAAAAGGTGGCAGTTCAAATCTATCAACAGTTCCAAGACAAAAAGATTTAGCACACTGCTTCTGTAACGATGTGCAGACTTGGAGACTCTATGGCAACAATTCTGCTCTGTCCTACAGGATCACTATGAATCAGAATCAACTTGATGGCAGTGGGTTTGGTTTGGGGTTAGTTTTTGATTCAGTCACTTGTTCAACAATTCATCCTTTGCCCTACTATGAAGTGTTTCTACTTCTCCTCCCTACCCTTGTATTAAATACCATCTTCATTCCACCTAGTGATTCTTTGGTCTTAAAACCCTCATGCGTTCTGCATACTGACTATATAATATAATCTGTGAAACAGTTAACATTTAATTTGCTTTATCAGTTTCTATCGGACACTGTGCCGTGTTTCACCACAACCCTCTAAAGTAGAAACGCACTGTCATTGTTATCCTGAGTTTAAAGTTGCGGACTATGAAAAAACTTAAGGTATCTCACCCAAGTTCACACAACTGGCAAGAAGTGGCAACTAAACTTCAACTCACATCACTATCTGACAAAGGAATAATTGACAAAATGCAGCACTGTTAAAAGTAACAGGAAGCAGTGTAGTTTTTGAAAAAAGTATGGAGCCAAGTTCAAATCCCAGTCCTTTCGAACACTAGTTTTATAACCTTGAACAAATTACCTAAACTCTCAGAGTTTCAATTTCCTTATCTATAAAGCAAGGATGAGGAATACATACAACAGATGTAAAACCCATGGTATAGGATGAGGATTCGATAGTTGTTATTTGGTGCCATTGAGTCAGTACCAATTCATAGCAACCCTATGCACGACAGAATGAAATATTATCTCAGCTATAGGTGTGCAAACCAAAAAGCAATTTTAAGTTGCAAAATCAGTTTCAGTTACATTAGAAATAATAGGCTCACAAAGAGTCCCTGGGTGGGACAAACAACTAACTGCTTGTCTACTAGCACAAAGGTTGGCAGTTCAAACCCACCCAGAGGCACCTTGAAAGACAGACCTGGCCATCTGCTTCTGAAAACCCAATGGAGCAGTTCTACTCTACATACATGGGGTAGCCGCAGTCAGAATCAACTCACAGACAAACAACAACAAAGGTTAATCAATTAAAGTTAGTTTAGTAATTCCCTAACTTAGTTGTTTAAATATAAGATCACGAGCTTGTAAATTTTAAGTTTATTTCTGTCAAGTAACTATGTCATAATAATCACTCTTTTGAATGAAAAGTAAATGTTTGTTTAAGACCAAAATATGTGGGCATCATTTGTTATAAGACCATAATGGAACAGAATATTAAATACTATGGAAAATAACATTACATAAAGAAATTCTCAGTAATTCCTTTCAGAAAGTACACAACTTTAAAATTTAGTCATTCTATGAATCCAAGTTCGTATGTACCCACCACAAAATACGTATATTGGATTTACGTGCAGTGAGATAGACCTGGAAAGCATTTCACTTTTCTCCATTTTTGAGACATTAACCAATTCTTGTGCTTAAATGGCAATGGGGAGCAAGTTTGCAAGTGAATAAAATGACCAAATCTAGTATCTTTTTAATCTACTAAATGAGCTCTAGATTAATCTCCTGCACATCATACAAAAAGAACTTTGGAATTATGTACTGTAAACTAAAATCAATCAGAGAAAGGGTATGCCAATTTTGATAGCAATTCTTATTTCTTGGCTTTCCAACATCTGTCAGTGTTAATAGTATTTAGCTAACAAAATGCAATGAGGGAAGGAAACAGAACTTTAAACACAATCAAGTATTTTCAAAGGCATAGGGTACAAAGCTTCCTTCAAGAAATATTTACCTCATCCGCACATCATGAATATTTTCTTCTTGTTTTTCAACCAGCATTTCTAAACAAAATTCATGCTCTCATCCCCACCACTCATCTGAAGGCATCAAGTTCACCCTCACTGATGAAGTAGAATTACGTGATACAAAGATCACAGAACTCACTACAAAAGACTCACTAGCTTTATTCTACCCAAAATAAGGAGGTCAGGAACTTTTGATTTGACAATATTATTGGCTGTTTATGTCTGTATTGAAAAAAAAAAAAAAGTATCCATTAAAGGAAATCATTCTGGATTTTTTCCCAATTCCTAACTACAGATGCTTTGTTCAAGTGAACAAAAAAGAAAAAGAAAAAGAATGCCATTTTTAATCTAAGCTCTCTAACGACATCTCTAGCCCAGTATTTCTCTACACCTAACAAAGATAAATGTAATTATCTATTCAATATTGTTATATTTGCAGCTTGTAAATCAGTCAGTTCTTATAAGCCAAGCAGAATGCTAATCTTCAAAACGGCCCTCAAAAAGAAGGAACCAGCACCACACACCCTGAAAAGACAAGTGATTTGGCAGACCAACAGTAAATGTGGGTCCCTGCACCTTTCACTACTGCATGCTGCTTTAATTTCCAACCTAAACTTGTTAATTTCTAAGTGTTCCCGCTCCTCAACTGGAATCCCGCTGGTTAACGGCTAACCAGAAGGTGACCAGGTCAAACCCACTAGCTGCAACCTGGAAAGTCGCTGAGTCAGAACTGACTCAAATACACTTTAACAACAGCAACTAGGCATAGTGACTTTGCACCTTTAGCCACTTAATAGCCACTTAAGTAAAATTAGGCCTTTCCCAGATTGATACATAAGGGACGTAGGTATTTAGGGGTTTAGGCAGGTAAGATGCAAGTAACTAGTGAAAGGCTATGAAAGACCTTGGGGATCTAAAGGCACCGGTTTTCCACACCTTGCCTGAATTCCTCATTTTTGTACACCGTGTGGAATTCGGCTCAGGCCTTTCAGGCTAAGACTGCACACCTTTTTTGAGCTGCCAGTGTTTGCTGGCACTGTAGAATAAGTCCTCAACCATAAGGTCGGTTTGAACCACAAGGTCGGCGGTTCAAATTCACCAGCCGCTCCTCGCAAACCCTATACAGGGTCGCTATGCATAGGGACCCACTCGACAGCACTTAACAACAATGTCTGCCCTAGACCGACCTGGCTGCGGAGGCTCAGTACACCCGAGTCCAGGAGAATCGGGGAGCTGTCGAGGGGCTCAAATCACACAACGCCTTCTCCCAGCCCAGCAACTCGGGGTGTGTGTGTGTGTGTGGTGTGGGTGTGTGTGGAGATGAACCAAGGCAAATTGCAGGGCTGAGGCATTCTAAATCAAGTTGATGAATTCCGAGTTTCGCTCCAGCGCCTGGGAAAAGGTTCGGGTAAACCCAAGCTTCCGGACCCAGGGGAAGTGGCGGGCGCAGGGGGGTCTCCAGCTCACCCGCCGACACGGACTTGCCTGTCAAAGTTAGCCGCAAAAGGGGGTGAGGGAGCGACATAACCACAGGAACCCCGCGAGAGAAAAGAGGGAGGGGGAATTTTTCTTTAAAAAGGCCAAAAGGTAACCATCAACCATCTCCGAACAACCCACACCGGGAACAAAGAGCTTCTGTTACAAGCAGAATTAACCCTGCCGTTTCGGGATTTGGAAGGGGAAAAAAAACTTTTCCTATGGACAGGGGAGAGGAAGGGAAATGGGGGATCTGGGGCGGGGGAGGGGGGCAGACTCTCAAACCTCGCCGGGAGTAGGGACGGCGCACAAGGGGAGGAAGTGCAAGTCCCCGCGGAGCGCGGGGCTGGTGGGTAGCGCTACCTGCGGTGCGGGCTGCCGCGCTGCGCCCGAGGGCCCGCATCGCGCCCGGGAGGCCCGGCCCCGCCACACTCACCTCCTCGATGGCCGCCACCGTGTTCCGGCATTGGGCAGTGCGGGTGGTGAAGCTGGAGGCGGTGGGTGCCTTGTAGTCTTCGTGGGTCTCGGCCACGAATTCCGACACGGAGATCTGGTCCGGCATCGCCTCAGCACAGGGGAGCTGGCGGCCCGAAGCGGGAGAGCCGCCGCCTCAGACGCAGCGGCGGGCACCGACCTCACAGACGCCGCCGCGCCCGCAGCTCCTTCTCGGTCCGGCGGACAAAGGGAAGCTGGCCAGGGGCGCCGGGGCCGCTCACTGCAGGAGCCGAGCGCCGGTAAGAGGGAGCAGGTTCGCCGCCCGCGGTGCCCAGACGCAGTCCGGCTGGCGGGAGAGGAAGGGCAAGCGCACAGCCCGGCGCAGCTCGGCCCCGGCCCGAGTCTGCAGCACCGCGGCCGAGGGCTCCTTGCGTCTGCCGTCACCACCAGCTGCCCCTTCCTCTCCCGAACGAGCCCCCGAGACGGGCGCACCGAGCCGGGTGGGAACTGCCCGCCACCCAGCCTCAGGCACCGACAGACTCCCGCGGAGAGGGGGCGGGTCCGGGGCGGGGGCGGTGGCCGACACGGCGCGGGGCGGGGCGGGGCGGGCGGCGGGAGGACCAGGCCGCCAATCCGCGCGCTCGCCGCCGCAGCCGGGAAGCTAATCCTGCAGGAAGGAAGGCGGTGCGCGCCTCGGCCGCTGCGGAGTCTTTACCGGCCGGCGCCCTCCGCGCGCTGCATTGTCTGGGAGTTCGGGTGCCTCTGCACCGCGCGCCAGGACTCGAGGGTGTGCCCTCCGACAGGCCCGGCCACTGGATGTCCTGATACCAGCCGTCCCTACCCGGGTTGAAGTCCATTGCCAAGGCCCTTCTTCCGATTCCTGGCTTTGTGAGCGTGTGTGCAGGTTACCTACAGACACTCTCTGGCCCAAATTGTAATCCTCCCTTCCGTGTCCCAACCACACCCGTTGGTTAGAACCTTTCTTAGGCTCTCCCCCTAAGCCACTGGGAATGCCTGTCCAGTCAAGGAAGAAAGTATGAGGCGTTCTCCCCCTTCAGGTTCCCTCTCTACCAGGGTAGTACCCAACAGACTGGGATTCAATAATAATGGTAAATTACCATATTATGAATGTTCATGTGCTTTACATATAGTTTTTTAATCCCCTAAACCACCTAATGCATAGGAAAGACATTATTTTACATAGAAGGCAAACAATTTGCCCAGGAATACACAATGGCAGAATGCAGATTCAATCCCAGGTCTCCAAATTCCAAGTTACAGAGGTTCAGAATGCTTACAAGTTTACTTAGCAAATGTCCCAGTTATGTTTCCCTAAGCTTGCACAAAAGGCCTGGTGTGATGCTGTGGGGTTGATGCTCAGGGCTGCAAAGTCAGTTTGAACCTCAGGGTCTGCAGTTCAAGCTCACCAGTCGCTCCTTGAAACCCTATGCAGGGCTGCTAGGGTTCGGAAACAGACTGGACGGCAATTAACAAATACAACAAATTAGCACAGTTACAGGTAATTCTCAGCTGGAAATAGTGTTGAGACTCAAGACTAGGACCCACCCTGGGAAGTTAACTAAACACTCCAAAATAGGTATTCTTGTAGAAATGGAGGGAACCAAAGGAGTTGCAAGAGAATGAATACAAGGGTTTTTTTACATTATGCTTTCACACAGAATATGCAACAATATTAGAGAAATGTCATAAGTGATCCATTAAGGAGTTTGAATCATTACAGGTTATTATTAGCAGGTCTTAAAGAAATTTTCATAGTCACTCTTTTTTAATCCAAAAGCTCTGAAGACACTTGTCAAGTAATATCACACTCCATAACTCTATACCAGGCATGTGGCATGGTTTCTGTAACTGCCAGCAATAAAACCAAGAGAAACTTCACAAAAACCTTTTGTGCATCTGAAAGGAGGAAGTGTGACAGACATTCGAAATTCAATATGTCAGACAAAGCAGTCTCCTAACACTGCAGGACAGTGGGTTAGTCAATCTTTTTTTTTAAAGCTCCTATATAAGAGTTTGTTATATGAGGTGGGAGCTTGGGTCAGACATTATGTATGGCCTCTGGTATTTTAGTAACATTGTATACGAACTTTGGCTTTTAAAAAGTACTGTGTATTGATGGATAGCTTTTATCATTGTACTAAACAATAACAGTTTTTAAAACTATTTCTCCCTTCCATTTATTTTTATTTCATCTTTTAAATATCTTTGAGAAATTTTTCTATAACTTCTACTATTTAAGTATTATATGTATAATTTATATTAGTACATCCTTTCCTTCAGGGATAGGAGCCCTGGTGGCACAGTGGGTTAATCGCTAAGGTCAGCGATTCAAACCTACCAGCCTCTTTATAAAGATTTGTTGTTGTTGTTGTTGTTATGTGCCATGGAGTCGTTCCGTACCTGTACAGGGTTTCCGAGGCTGTAAATCTTTACGGGAGCAGAAAGCCTCATCATTCTGCTGCGAAACAGCTGGTAGTTTCGAATTGCTGACCTTGCAGTTCACAGCCCAATTCATAACTACAGCCTCAGAAAACTTATGGGGCAGTTGTACTCTGACCTCTAGGGTCACCTTGAGTCAGAATCAGTTTGATAATAGTAGGTTCTCCTACATCAGTCTGTTTCTTTCTACCTAATTTCCCAGCTATCATCTTTTTATTCTCCTTTGTCACTGAATAATATTCTAGATAACTTTTCAGATCTTGATTTTTAGAGTGTGGAGTAATAAAGGTTACAAGTTGGACTCCAAACTACAAAGTCAGTTATTTGAATCTACCAGTTCCTCCAAGAAAGGTTTTCTGCTCCAATAAATATTTACAGGCTTAGAAACCCTACATAGGGACTCTGAGTCAGAATCGACTTGATGGCAGTGAGTAGTAATGGGTTAAGAGTCTCTGGGTGGTGCAAATGGTTAAGTGCTGCCAAAAGATTGGCAGTTCAAATCCACCCAGAGGCAGGTCAGAAGATAAGCCTGGCATTCTGTTTCGGAAAGATCACAGATAATCCTTTAGTTATGGGTCAAAATCCCATGGAGCACACATGGAATCACCATGAATCAGAACTGACTCAAAGGTAGCCAACAACAACAGTATCACACTACAAGGGATTTTAGGAGAGAAAAAAGAGTAGTTTTTCCTTCATGTCTAGTACAGCATTGTTGTCAAATGTTTGAGAGAGAGGACTTAAACCGCAGTCCAGTTCTTATTGTATGGTGCCACTGTGCATGAGCCAAAAGAATCAAGACCTTTACATATACAAGGATAGGTAAGGTTAAGCGTGGTGTTAATCGGTTCTCTCATTATATACAACTCTTGTTTCTTGTCCTTTAATACATTCTTCCAGATATAGGAACCTTTAGCAGCCTCAAAAATAAGATTGCAAAGCTGTATTGCATTATGCTAGTGGATGAGAAGGCTGGTGGAACACAAGTAAGTTATTACCAAGTCCACTGGTGTTATAAAGAGGACAACAGATTGGAAGAATATTAAAACAACCATCTCTTAGAAACCTCAGAAAAACATGCCTGAGTGCAAAAGCCTAAAATTATAGTAAGACCAGAATAAAACATTACTAATGCCTCAGATTAATTAATAGGACAAGAATGAGTAGCTTCCAACAAATAAAACTTAAGTTGAACATGGAACAAGAAAATCTTGCATACACATGCACAAATGTATTTTTCAAATGCAAAAGAAAAAAAAGATGAACATGTTAACATGGCAAGTATAGGCCTATACTCCAAAAAGCTCTGAAAATCTTAAGGTTTATTTATTTATTAGTAAAAAAATAATCCTTGTAATGTCATAATTGACCTGAAATGAACTGACAGGCTATCTGTAGTCTTTTCTTTATCTCACTTCATGTAAATATTGATGTTTTTCTATAAAATATAAATGTTTTTGATTATAGAGTATGATTCCTGACCCCATCGGGGATGATTCAGAATATTCACTATATTACCTTTCTGAAATCTGAAAAATGCTGATTTTTCACCCATGTCTGGTCCCACGGTTTTCAGATAAGAGATTATCTGTGTTTTTTTAAAAAAAGAAGAAGAAGAAAAAGAAAGGAAGAGAAGAAATGAAGAAAAAAACATGCTATTACAGACTTGTAAATTCCAGGGAAGGAAAATGAAACTCCTCTCAAAAACAAAATGCTTTCAGCAGCCTACTGAGATTGGCCAACAGCCCACTTTCCAAAGGAATTTTCTGCTTCCAGTAGCATACGTGAATACATGAACCTGAGTTTTCTTTCTCTCAGATCAAGGCATAAAATATGTTCTTAACTCTGAAATTTGCTTGAGGGTTGGCTGGTTAATACAAGACTTGTACAGTTCACTTGCTATTAACTTACAAATGATCACTCTTGGAATGGACAGCTCTGTGCCTTAAGAGAACTTATGGTAAGCAGTGTAATTAAATAGAAAGAAAAAACAACATCCTAGTGATGTAACATATAACTATTACCAGAAGTTTCTTTCCCACAACTAACAATACTCTTCCAAAGATAATGTTGCTGAAAGGGCCCATTTATCCCCAAAGTGAGAAAAAGCTGAATCCACTTGTCATGGCGATCTCACCTAAGCATTTCCAGGAGGAAACTTTAGCACCAGAAAACATTTTACAGATACAAATAGGGTTTGATTCCAACTTTACCCTGGCAACACATGGTAAAAGCACTCAGCTGCTAATGAAAAGGTCAGCAGTTCTGAACCTACTAGCCACTCCACTAGAGAAAGATGTGGCAGTCTATTGCCATAAAGATTTACAGCCTTGGAAACCCTATGGGGCAGTTTTCCTATGTCCTTTAGCGTCACTATAAATTGGAATGGACAGCAGTAGGTTTGGTTTGGGGGAGTTAGTTTCTCTGTATGTTGGATGGCTGTGTAGCATTGTAGGATAAGCCCCGGACTGCAAGGTCAGCAGTTCAAACCTGTACAAGGTCGAAACCAATTCAGTGACATACAACAAAAACAACAATTTAACCTCTGTGGACTGCAGTTAGCTTATTTATAAAGCAATAGAGGCCAAACTAGCTAGTTTCTAAGGTCCCTTCCTGCTCTAATAGTCTATGATTCATATTTTATGTGAGTTTGGACACAAAAACTACCGTAAGAGCCACATTCCTACTAAGAAGCTAATGGTTGGTTCT